TAAAGTGATCTAGCTCAACACACCAAAGAGAGGAGAACTAGTGTAGTGTTCTAGTGCCAGTACTAGTGAACCTCTGCATTACATGCAGTGTTTAGTGGTACCAGGAAAGATGCTCAAAGTGGTTTTGAAATGATGTCCTGCATTCTTTTTTATTTACTTTCCATCATTTGTAGCTTGCTATTCTTGTCAATCTTGTACTTTGAAATTCTTATTCCAGGCTTTTCCCACAACCTATAAATATATCTTCTAATACAAAGTAAGACTGTCAGGTAATCACGTGGCTCCAGAATCTGGGACTTAAATAAAAAAAAAAGAGAAAAAACAATGTTACAGCATTAGAGGACACATGAAGTTGGCAACATTGGTCTGTACTCAATGTCTTCTCAATAATGTAAAACAGAAAAAGCAGCTTCATTCCATTTTACCACATTTTTGTTCAAACGAATTCAAAACCAATGTCTTGTCTAGCATCCATTACTGGGCAGAGCCTCTATTCAAAACCAGTGAGATTTTAACTATGTAAGACCTGCAGGTCTGTGTTTCTTGTCTCTTCTCATTGTATTAATTGTTAAGGCTAAGGCCTCACTCTTCCGTAACAATTAATTCAAATACTTCAGCTACTACTATGAAGCACTAGATTTTTTTCTACCTAGCTTTTACAAGAGGCATTGAAAAAGCCTCTCCAGCTGTTATCCAGAACTTCCCTGAACTGAATTTTCACACTCAGTTTTTTCATTATTCTGAAGAGAATCACAAAGCAAAAGCTCAGCACATCTATTCTCACCGTCTCAGAAGACTTATTGCCTGAGATGCCACATATGCAACATTTTATATCTGTAAGAAGTTCACGTTACCTGATTCAGATATGCAAATATGTCAAGTTTTTCATGAATATCAGAGCAAACCTTTAAATGAATTTGCTTTCTGCAATCTCTCCACAGGAACAGTTGAGCAGGTGAAAGTTTTGTTTGGCCAGAAAAAAACAGGAGAACAAATACCAAAGAATTTTCCCTGAAGGCAAAATAAAGGCATGTATACAAACATGTTATGTCGTACAGCCACACGATAGATACAACATGACAAAAATTTTGTACATCGGGGTTTACTGAGGGAAGATAGCTCATGAGGACCTCTCAACCCATGTACAACATGATGCATGTAGCATTGATTCCGTCATTTATATTCAAGTGACACAGTTTGAATTTTCTGACTGGTGCAGAGAATAAAATACTGCAGCTACATTCACTTACTACATTCGTGAAATTGCAGGTGTTTTGCAAGCCTGTAGGTAGATGAAGTCAATCAAATTAATCACTCTGAATCATTTTATTCCCTTTAGAATAGTTTTGCTCTATAGATTTCTGAGCCTGACAAGTATCATTTTCCATATTTCACGGAAGGGTTAGCTGATGTAAGCAGGATTGCATAACTTACTCAGGTCACCCGTCAACTCAGTGACGAGCCAAGGCTTTAAGCTCAAGATCTCCTTGAACTCTTGATTTTTCAACACGACAGCTTTGGGCAGGAAGCAGAGGATGCCTTATCCAATAAAAGCCAAGGCAGAATTTAGGCAAGCCAGTGCAAGGCTATACGTCAACATATGGCCAGTGAAGCAAACGTAGGTTACTTGCATTGTGGTAAGATAAGAGGCCAGCTGAATGCTAGGTCCACTGTGGTACATGGAGGTTGAGACTTTTTGGGTAAAATAAAAGCAACAGCATAGTTAAATAGTAATTCCAGTTAAGTAAGAAGCTTTAGACTCCAGATCTATTTTTAACTCATGAAACTAAAATAATTACAGTATCAAATAAGAATACATCAGCATCATTTTTTAAATAAAGATGCACAGCACTTACTGCTGCATTTTAGAGCAACAGTACCATATGGGAGACTCTAGTTCAGTCTTCACAAGATAGCTGAAACTGCTCTCTGCAGTAAGGTGTAGGTGTCTGCAAATTACACAGCTTCTTGAGTCAGTGCCGATCTAGATTGCTCCATTCATAATTAGACTTTTGATTGGTACCTATCCAGATCATCTCATTCATAGTATGATTTACAAGCAGGGATGGAGACAGACAGGCAAAGCAGTAATTGAGGGAATACCAGAAGAACTGCTTGACATGACAGAAGTATTTCCTATGCCTGCTATTGTCAGAAATTCCTTAGACAGTTTGCCTTGCAAATGCATATCCATTGGCCATTGAATCTGCCCTCTCTGGGGATGGCTCCAGCCTAATTTAAAATCCGAGTTGCATAATACATGCCCACTGCATCTGGAAACTAGCAAACCTAAAAATTCATTGAGCGTTTAAGTTGTGCTTGCTTCAACAACTTCAAGAATATCAAGGGTGCAGAGTGTAAATGTTCAGGGATCTGCTCTTTTCTTAAATATGCGCAACGTTATAACCTGAGCAAAAGTCACATACATGTAAGTGAAGATGACTTTAAAGTAAGGACACTGCAATAAGCAAAATTCAAGTGACTGATTCTAGCTACTCCAAACACTAGAGCACGACATCATACCCTGGCTATTTCTTTCTCCCCTATATGCAGCATAGAGGGAGACAATACCTGAAAAGTTACCAGGCCTGATCCTGCAAGCCCTGAACTCGAGGGAACTGAAGGTAATCAACACCAGCATCAGGCTCTGTGGTTTCATGTGACATGAATTAAACTGCAGACTATGTACAATGTCAACTACTTGCAGTCTAGTTGTGTATTTTAAAGGCCAACAGAAACACTGAGGAATATTTTGTGTTCTACAGAATATATATTTAAGCATCTTTTACCTGAATAACGTTCTTGACTAAGTTGTTGTTTTGGGATTTTTTTGGTTTTTTTAAAGTCTAAACCTCTCTCTATTCTACTTGGTACCACAGGGGAAATTGTATATGTTATACAGTCCTAATGTAATGTCAGATAAAAATCAACTGTCAAATGATATTCTTGTCTCCAGTGAAGAAAAGCAGAGCTATAAACCTACAGAAAATTACCTCCCTTTCTTGTGTTTCGAATGAGAAAATTGCTATTACTCAAGCAACATTAGTTAGCAGTTACAGGGTAGCACAGTGAGCTAAACCCCCAAATTTTCACTTGTGTACAGCTAACTTCAACTTGACACAGTATTGAAAAAACAATAGGAGGGAAGGGAAGCAGTCAGTCTTATCTCTTTGACCAATACAAAAGCACTGGACACCTGCTGAGCTGTTCAGGAAAACCAAAGAAAAGCAATAATTCTTGAACAAGAGCTCAACACTGTAGGTGGCTTTGCAGAACCATAACGCTTTCAAAGAACCTTCTGCTTTTACCCACTGTCTTTGCTAGAGCTTCATTGTTCATATTTGTAAACAAGTCTTTCACCTCATTTCTGTCCTTGACAAAGGAACTGTAATCGGTGATCAACATCTCGTCTCAGAAGTTAGGGAAATAGTACATTCTTTGAGAAATCCAAAAAGAAACAAACCAATCCAGCAGCTTTATAAAGGAATAGAAAAACTGCCGATCTTAAAGATTACCAGTCAGAAGTCTCCATTTCCCTTAGGTGTTCTCATTATTTTAACCTGCACATAATAGCTTTTCAACCTCATTCCCTCCTTCACTCTATAATCACTATGAGGTAGCCTTGGCTTTCTGTGTTGAAAAACACTAGTCATGAGGTTAAGACGTATCTAAGTCTTTTCTAACAGGAAAGATACTACCATTTGACACAACCTCTCACAATGTATTTTCATATCTGAAACTAGAATTCTGCTCTGAAATTGTATGTGAGAAAGAAACACAAATGAAACTTTAAGTTCTTATTCTATAAAGCAGGAAAAGAAACAGTTTTTTTAAACAAACAAACAAACATACATGGGTTCAACAGGTGCATGAAAACAGGCAATATGTGAAGAGAGCTGTGGTCTACACACATAATTAAACATAAAAACTGAGAAGCACTGCCAAGTTTTGTGAAGGAACAAGAAACAGAAAAGAAAAAGAAAAAGGAGAGTAAACTAAGACTACAGTACATGTAAACAATTCACCCTGCATTCTACATATAGGTCCTCTCTAAAGCCAACTTTATGAAAACCAAAGTCAGAAACCTATGATTAAAAAGATATAAACCAGATAACATTGTGCCTCAGAAGACAGAGTTTCAGCCCAATAAAAACAGAGCTGGAATTCACAGAGTTTAGAAGAGAATGGACAAGAGTAACCTGAAATTTTGACTTTTTTAGCCCGTCTAAATTGACATTTTATCTGAATGGCAACAATTCTTCCAACTTAATTCATCCTCAGTACATCATTTGCAGTTCTCAAACACAGCTAGCAAAAAACCTAGAAAATACAAGGGTAGCTTCAAATACATGAGGAAACGTCCAGTGTTCTTTCAGAGCAGCTTTGAAATACCTTCATTAAAAAATACATCCAATTTACATCTCAGCAAGTCATTACATATGACTACCATTGCCAGGTTCACAAATATTTTTAAAGTAACAAAATAAGCCATGCATATTAAAGACATTTTAAAGTAACACTGTGACAAAAAGAGAAGGGGATTAGTATTAAACTCCCTTTGTATGCAAACTGGAGAAAAGGAAACTCACAGAAAGACCAAATCCTGTTTACAATAGACATATGACCAGAATTGCCTATGAGGGGCTCTAACTGCAGCCTCCTGACAAGGTCTGTGTGAGGAAGCCTCTCTCCGTGAATAAGCCTGTGCCATGAGCCCCATTTTGCAACCACGCAACAAAACAAACAAGGAATCCCAAACTAGATTTCGGTTGTGAGCATTTTGCTCTGGCTGGAAAGCAGCAGGCTGAAGGAGACAAACTGCCCGCAAAAGCAGCAGCTGCTAGCTAACATGCTATCGTAGAGATAATGATTTAACAACAACTTACATAAAGCCCACAAAAATAAAGTCACTTCTTTAAAGGAGGGGTGTTTTTCTTGTCGTCCTAGGCTGTATTTTCCGGGTCAGCCACTGAAGTCTGAGGTACGGAGCTGTCTCTTACCTGAGCTGATCATACTGTGCATTCTTTGCTGAGCCAAGAGCTGTTCACGTCCAGAAACCCCATCTGAGGAAAAACACGATTCACTCTCGTAAATTGTCTGCAGCATATTCCAACCAGTCTGCACTTCAGCTACACGAGAGATTCATCACTGCACTTGCACAGGGGCGTCGGGCACGACCCTCTGCAGTCCTACCTCCTCCAGCGAGGGTTGTAAGATAATACGCTTCGGCAATTAGCAATGTTTAAGCATTTGCACAAGTATCTATCGGGAGAGGGGAAAAAACCCCAAATCCACTCTCGGCAGCCCCCGCCTGCTGGAAGGGAGCTGCGAGTGTGCGGGGGGCTGCGCGCCGCCGAGTTTGAGCAGTTGCGTTCGGGCAGCCAACGGCAGGTGGAAGAAGAAATGAAGAAATATCTCTGCGCTTCGGGCTTTCTGGCGGGGCGGGGGGGAAACACAGCCTCTTACAAACCATCAAACCCAATAAGCCACCTTGGCAGGGACCGGGAACCCCCGAGGGTTTAGTCTGAATTACCCCAGCCCGGACCAGTGTCGCTGTCCCCGCGCCCCTCCGCTCTCCCTGCCCTCGGCCGGGCGGCTGGGTGAAGTTGGCGGGAGCGGCAGGGATAACTCATTTGCATTTGAATCGACACCCGCGTGGCCCAGCGGCGGCAGAAATAGAACAATGGCCGGCCTGAGCCAAAAATAGGTCAAGCATGGCCGGGTGATCGGAGCCTGCATTAATGCGTTTAAAAATACCACAGCAAACACAGCTGTCCAGTCTCTGTCTTTCAAACCGTCCGCCGTCCCTCCGCCGCTCGGCCTCGAGCGGGATTAACCCCTTCCCCCTGCCCAACCCGTTTCGGTGGGGAGAAGCCAGGGAGGGAGGAAGGCAAGCAGGGAGCGGGACCGAAACGCTCCTCGCCCGGGACTCGCGCCCCTCTCCCTCCTTGCCCTCCCCCGGGGAGTATTTTGTGAAAAGCGAGCAAAACGCCACAGCCGCTGTATCGGTCCTAAAATAACGCCGGGAGGTTTTGCTGGCAATGTGGTTTCTGCCTCGCCCACGCTCAGCCATCCTGCTGTTCTATTTTTGCTGCCCGTTTCTCTGGCTACGCCGCAGTTGGCTTTGGCGGAGGAGCCAGGCTGCTGCCTGCTCCGTGCAGGACCTGCAGCCGCCTCGGGAGAGGCGATTTCTGAAGCTAACAGGGCTGGGGGGGAGCAGAAGGTGGGGGCAGATGTTAATGAGGGACCGGGTTTTGTGCGTGCAGTTATAAGCAGCCTTTCCGTATTTAGCATGCTTGATACAATTCTTATAGTAAGTCACCAGTTGTGGCACAGCATGTTAGACACGGTTACCAACTATGCACTATTCGGTTGACTTGCTAAAATTTGGAGAGGGGCTGAGCAGCTCACACTTATTTTTAGAAGCATTAGGCAATTTTCACGGCGTCTTTCTCAATTTTACAAGACGATGTGCTTTCAGAAGAGCAGCGTTTGACGGTGTATCAGACAACAGCACCATACTCCTGTGTGTCTTGGCAGGTTTCACGCATGCTATGTGAAGTTTATTTTCCATAATGATATTTCAAAAGTTGCGTATCTTGTTTGCTGATTAATATACCCACACGTAGATAAGTTTCATTTCACTGTTACAGATGGTACTTTACTTCTCTGGGTCCTGCTCTGCCTTATAGCACTTGTTACACAGGTGATCAAAGCCTGTCACTACCTATATATATGATACAGCAGCCTGACCACTCACCTACCAAAATTACGAATTCCCTTCCATGTCCCTGCTCTAGGGGAGCAACAGTGCCCACAGGGACGTGATTCCTCACTGTAAGCAAGAAGCCAATACAGAGGTTGTCTCGGAGCTTTCTAGAAATCCACCAAATTCCCAACTATCTCCAGCACCTTTTGCTAGTGAAGACTCAAGAATCTGCCCAGTACTTGAGCCTTGGTTCTGCTGTTAGGCAAAGGATCGACTGTCTGCTCTTCAACTAACAGGACAGATTGTAGCCAAGGGCAATTTTTTTTTCAAACTTCTCATAATTGTGTTACCAAAGAAAAGATCCACAGTAACAAAGTACTATGACACTCCTGTGACGTTTGGATACTTGATGGCACCTGGGAGGTCTGTGGCTCAAGTCTCCTCCATCATCCAAAACCTTTGCCTCCTCCATGTGCCAAATGACCTGGTCCTGCTGAGAGTTAGGATCTGTCCCCTGGACAGACGGAGACCGCAGCAGCTGACAAAGGGGTTTCTCCTACAGTATCCTCAAGTTAGTACCTATCACCGCTAAACACCCCCCTCTCCTTGCCTTCTCTCTTCCCGACCCCCAGTTTTGCCCAGGAGGAGCGCTCCTGGGGAAGCGGCGAAGCTCTGCAGACAGCAATACACCCAGCTCTGTAAAGGGGCAAGGACAGGGGCAGTGGCAGCACAGGACAGGTAGGGCATTACAGTGCAAGACGGGATGAACACCACACATACCATCGTCCTACTGACAGCTGACAATTTGGTATTGTGAGCATTTTTCTCTTGAAAATAAAAATACCCAAATGTTTTGTGGGAAATACCTGGCACTTTGACGGTACAGGGCAGAAGACGTTTAACATGAGTGCAAGGGAGATCACCAGTAGAAACAGAAATCTTCTCCAATGCAGAAAAAGCTTTTTATAGACAGAAGTAAATAAAAAAGTGGAATTGCTTATGCCCTTGAGCCAACCAGAACATGACTCTGTTTAGTGATTCAGTGCCTCAAAATAATCAAGTCTCGTATTACAGGGAAACACTGGAGGAATAAGTTAAAAACAGGTCAGAACATGGAAAATGCTGGAGTGTGGGATCCTGGTATTAGGTACCCACACATGTTTAAAACTTCTTATATACAGCTGTATTTTTAAAGACAGCATTCACAGCTCTAACTGACTTCAAATACTTCAGTAACTAAATAAAAGCAAACTATTTTCAAGAGCAGAAAATGTACATTCAGGTATTTAGCTGCAAGCGTTCTTAATTTTGGCGTACACGCTTTAAACTGACAGACATATAAACTATCCTATGTTCACTAATTCACAGAGCATGCTAACTACAGCATTGTCCTTTATATTTTAGATTATATATAAAAATTTATCAAAACACTTTACTTATGAAGTCAGCCACCCCAAAGGTAGGGCTTTTACAACCTGAATTCTTCTGACTTGCTTCAAAGGCCTACTTTGGTACATGCTTAGCTTTAAAACATGTGTGTAAATCCATCCCTTTTCAACATAATATTTAAGCATATGCTCAAATTCTATTGATCGCAACAGAATTTAAACAGGTAGTTAAACACTTTGCTGAGTCAGCCCAGCCTTTAACTGCACAATCACATGAGTTTAAATAGCTCCTTTAGAGTCCCATGGGGGAAGGATAAAGGGTTCACGCCTGGTTTTTATTTTTAAAGCTATGGATGTTATAAGGTGACATTTTCATACAGGAACATGAGGTTTTTTGTTCTGTTTTTTCAAATGCATTTCCTAAACTTGGAGAACTTTTATGACACTGGAGGTAAGAGTAAACTGTTGAAATGATTTAGCGCTGCTGAGGTGACTCTAAATGCAACCAGCAACTTTACAGAAAATGTAGGGCATGTTAGCAGCACTAAGATCTCATTACAGGGGTTTCACAATGTGTTTCTCTTATTTGCCTTCTGAGTTGCTAAAACCAAATAAATACAAGGAAATTAAATCTGGAAACTGCATTACTGCAACATTAAGACTGAGAAATTAAGCACTCAAATTAGAAAGAGCTAAGATTTCTACTGCATTATTAACTCTGCAACATTATAATTAAGTAGCACTTTTCTCTTCTTACTTTCCTTGTAAAGTACAAACAGTATATTACTGTTTGTTTTTAGCATATCCCATTTCTCACTCACGTTATTCTGGAGCATAGCCTTCATTAACATTAATAACTTAGTTTCAACTTTTGCAGTTTTCTTACTTGTAAATTAATTATTGCATAGATTCTTCTGCCATATTGCTCAATTGTATCATATAAATATTACATACAAAATAAAATAAAGATATGTTCTCTAGCTTCTAGACATATGCATATATGAGGATACTGCAGTCTTACAGGTGTCCCACTCAACCTTCCTTCAGCTCCTTTTTCATTTGGCAAGTATTCTCTGAAAAAGTATCGAGTAATAACATGCATCAATATCCAACAATGCATAAACAAGTGGAAGCTAAATTAAGGTTGCATGGGTAATGTTAAATCTGGCCTATTGCAGTACTCAAGTTTTGAGTTCTAATCTCCGCAGCCTAAGGAACGCCTAACTATTTTTTGTATATCTAATCACCAGGATTAAAAAAAGAAAAAAAACAGCTATTGTATAGAACAGATGTTCCTGTAGCCACAGTTCATTAGATACCATTAGTACCATGTGAAACCTAAACATCCAGCATAAATTACTACTGCTTATACTAGAGGATTAACTAGGCTAACGAACAGCAGAAGACTATTACCACACAAAGAAGCAGATGGTTTGGGAGCAGAAAGAAATCAGGGGAGGTGCTCAAATGGTCTGGTTCTGCTCCCTCCTGGAACTAAGGGACCATATTCCAAACCCCTGGGGGTGTAAAAATGAATCACTTAATCCATGTGCTCTGCTTGGAAACATGTAGTGCGGGAATGTCTCTGATTAGTTTTCTGTGTAGAAAGCCTTTAGTGTTGCCTGTGCAGGAATACACGTTGCTTTTTCTTTGCAGTTCCATGAACCCATGGGATAGGCATTTTTCAAGTGAGGAGAAAACTGTGATTCTATACGTGCTTAAGCTCAATTCAAGCTTCAAAGGAATTTTCTGGGACAAAGAAAGACGTATCTGTAGCTTTAGGGGATTTTGTGACAAACAATGGGAGAATAAAACTTTACAAAGTTTTGAGGATAAGGAGCATTACGCTAGATAAATGTATGGGTCTCTACCATCTCTCATATAACAATACAGACAGACTCGCATCTTTCTCATGCAAATTAGCTCAGGCTTTTGGAACTAGCTGATGACTTATCACTTCTTTCTCCTCTTAAAATATGCCTTTCTGTTCACATAAATAAGTCTACTAG